CCATGGTTTCTTCGATGTCTGTGGCAACGACGTCTGTGGCTCAGTCAAAACTATCAGTCACTGAACAGTCTAAATCAGAATCAAGTGTCCAATCAATACTCCACCAAATGATGGCCAAAATCAATGCCAATCATACCAGAACTGAGGAACAGTTCGAAGCCCTACATCGAAGGACGGAAGAGGGAATTAATCAATGTATCCAGCGTTATCAACTGACGGACACTCGTCTAACAAGAGTAGAGGACGAAAATGTGGTCATAAAAACTCAGGTGGACCAACAAACCACGAACAACCAGGTCACCGAGAATCGCCTCAACACACTGGAGACACAAATTGTGCAGATGAGAACGGAGATCTCCCAGATATCGGACAAACACCGAAAATCTACGAACCATGATCAATCACAAATTCTAAAACCCAGTGTCTTGTCTTCAACTGCTGTTCAACCCAATCTGTCCGGCCGCAGTAATGTGTCTCCGATGCCCCCGACAGCTTCAACCACTAACCTCGTGAATACGTTCGATTCACGAAGCTCATCGTTTTTGGAAGCTCAAGAACGTTTCCAGGATTCCGTATCTGAATTCTCCGGGCAAATTAAAGAAATCCATCCACAAAAATTTATTGGACAAGTTGACGCCTACTTCGACAGCGTACATGTGTCACCTGCCCAACAACTTATCTCCACACATCGACGTTTAGTAGGAGATGCTCAAATTTGGTACGAGTCATTAATCCCATCACCTCGTTCATACGCTGAATTTCGTCTGTTATTTCTTCAACATTTCTGGTCTCCGGCGACTCAACGGAAAGCCCGAAATGAGATTTTTCGGCATTATCAATACACTAGATCCGATGGTTTAGCTACACATGCCATGAAATGGATAGCCGGGGCTAAGTATCTCAACCCACCTATCGAACAATCCGATCTCGTGTCTACTATTATTCAACACTATCCCACATCACTCGGAATGGCAATTCGAGGTCGAGGACCCCGTGACACCAACGAGCTGTTATCAGTTTTGATGGAATTTGAAGAATCAGCGTCATTTTGCGAACGACGTCGTGAAGACAACCAGGTTCGACCACCATTCCAACACCAAAATAATGGAAATCAACAACCTCGTTATAAT